CACTTGTAAAATCTGTATGGAAGTCTTTATTACCACTGGTACTTGTGCTTATGTTTTTCTGGGATCATATTTCAGGCTAGCACTAATACTACAGTGAATAGTACTAATTTATTAGTACTTAGGTTACTATAATGATAGTATAAGTAAAGCATAACAGTATGCTAAGCTATAACTTTCAGCTTTATTGTTAGTGTTACAACCCTAATTGTTACTCAGTGTTAGTAGTACTAGTAGTAGTAGTGTCACGTTAGTACTACAGTTAATTTACTGGTACTACAGACTAGTGTAGTAATAGCACTAGCAGTACTTGTCACAAGTAATACTATAATACTAATACAGTAATAGTGGTATTACTACTATCGAGTACTAGTGCTATTACTATTAGTATTCAACTTCAAGACTATTATTAGTATCACACACATCACATTTATAAATATTAGAAGTTATCAAACTCAAAAATTCTCCGACATACAATTTCTCTGTGCATTTCTCTATTTATATTTGGTGTTACTTTCATCGATCCAACAAATATAAAAAATAATCCCAAAAACACAGAAAGCGTCGTCAAAACCAAGGACTTCATCTTACTGACTTCAACTTCGAAATTGAAATAGCCAGAAAATATATCTCGATATTTGTTGATTTTCTTTTAACATAATACAGTATGGAAAGCAAAATAGATATATGAAAATAAACAAATATTAAGAACTGAGGGGAAAAAACCTTTAATATAATAAATAATAATAATATTAATAATTTTTGAAAGTTATAATACGTTTAATCCATAAAATGTTGAATTTTTACAGCAAAACCACATTGGGTTATCTGCTATGTCCACCGCGGGAAACGCCTGATTTTAGCGTTGTAAGTCCGTAGACTTACCGTGTCACCCAGTGAACTCCGTAATAAGATAATTACCTGTTGTATTGATTTTTATTTTGTCAAATTTCCTACATGCAAACCAATCTCGAGAACAATTAAATATATAAGAAAAGCCATAAAATTTCATTACAGCCGTGACTGGGTCTTTAAAAGTTATATTTACTTCAAAATTCAATAAAACTTAAATGGGACCATCCTGGCGATAATATTCTTCATTTTGTGAACTTCTAGGTACAGTAGCAAATCAAGCACAACATAATAATGTGAAAGAGAAAAATCATTGACTAAAGAAATTAGGTTTTTCTCGTTGCTATTAATATTTAACGTGTTTACCCAGCTTTGTTAACATAAAAAATAATCTTTATTTTTAGCAGAATAACGGTTTATTTGTTTGCTTTTTCTTATGATCACGCAAAGCTACATAAGAGACATCAACGTTAGCCGTAACCAAATTATGGACTGACAGACTAGAGGGAAGGTAACTAGTCAACAGCATCCATCGCCAACTTTTGGGCTATTCTAAGAATTATACGAACGTAATGTCAATGGAATTTTTATATAAGGATGGCATCAGTATAAGCAAATGTCTATATAATTTTAATGAACAACGCAACTGACTTAGGAAAATCGATTTCTCACATCGAGAAAAACCTTTTTTTTTTTCTATTTTGTATCAGATTTAGTACCAAGAAAATAAATGTAGCGTTTTAGACATCACAGGACAAATTAAACAAAATAAAGACTTGTTGGAACAAATAATTAAATTACATTTAAGAATTTTCCATGGGTTGCCATTCCGATCGATCTTGTGTAGGAATATGAATTTACACGGTAATTTACAATTTCACGATACATTCGCAAGGCATGCTTTTGTTTTACTATAAGCCGTAGACTTACATACTAAATGCTTTATTCAAAAATGTACATATTTTACACAAGTTTTTGTTACATTTTAGGATAGATACTGCTTCGAACCAAATTGAATTTTTGTTGATCTCAGATCCTAGCACTGTACAATCACAATATTGAACAGTATATAATTTATTGAATAATATCTGTTTAATTTCCACGTTCAGGGAAATTACACTTATTATTCATCCACGCCTATAATGTTGTTAAGTCAGTACTGTTATATCTTTCTTATTTGTCAATGGTAATGATTGTGCAATCTTCCATTTGTTTTGTTACGACATCGGAAGTCACGCGATGCTGGGAGCATGAGCGCTGGAGTTTCTGGAAGGATCATGAATTTTCCTGGCAGCTCTAGTTTGTTTTAGTCGCCCTCGTTTTTAGTATATAAGCCTGGCGAGAAAAACCAGCGGGATGGCACAGAAAGAGAGAGAGATATAGGCAGCTAGATCGAAGAGATAGATGGCTAATTGAGTCAAGCGAACAGTAGGCAGAGGAAGTAAAGTGTGTGAATCAC